ACAACCCCCACCCCCACCCCCTCACCCGACCACCACGACACCCTTCCGGGTTCGTTGACCCCCGCGGCCGTGCGCTCGTCATGAGGGTCCGAGCGTGGTGCGCATGCCACACGCTACGGGGTGCTCCGCCACCGCCCCCCAGTCCCCTCCCACAAGGGTCACTGTGACCTTATACAGCCCCAGCAGGATGCAGCAAAGAAAGTAATAATAGCGGACCGTGGGGTGGGGGTGAGGTGTCAGCCCGCCGACCCACGGGCACAATCATATAGCGCCACCGGCTGAGCCGGCTGAGCGTGCGGCGGCTGCTGACAAACAGTGACAAATCGCCCCCCTCCGTGCTTGTCCGCCGCCAAGCCGCGCCGAGGAGGCATTGACCAGGCGTACGGCGTACCCGCCGCGCGGGTGTGCCGGAGGGGGCGCCGGCTCAGGGCGTTTGCTGAACCCCCGCACGAGTGGCCTCTCCGTCAGCTGCCTTATTCCACGAGCGAGAAGAATAAAGTTTGCCGCCGCCCGTCGCTGACGGCGTGGGGCCGCCTCGCCTCACCGCATGTCGCCCGGCCAGCTGGCCGGCCCGTCGAGCGCGGGTGTCGGCCGGATTGCCTACCCGGAGGCGGCAGGCGCTCCCTGTCTGGCAGGCGACGGGCGGCGCGCGCTGCTCCCAGCCCCCTCACCGCCCCTCGCCGCCCCCCGCCGCGCGTCCTCCAAACATGAAAAGGGTGTTCTTCTTGGGCCTCTGCCATTTTGCCGTGTCCCTCGCCAACCCCATCCCACCCCCGCCAAGCAGCCATTTCTTCCCCCTTCCTCGGATATCTCTTTCCCCTCAGAACAACTTGTCTTCAAGTTCTTTCGGTTGTTGTTGTTGGCCGCGGCGAGGTGCGAGGCGCGCAGAGCGGGAGAGCAGGAAAGGGGAAAGAGTGGGTGGGCAGGGGATGACGGGGGATGAGCCCCTCATTTACGGAACACCGAGCCGCCGGCCTCCAAGTTTGTCAAGTTGGACAAAGTGACTCCGGCGCGTCAGACGGCCTACCCTACCGGTGCCCGACCTGGCGCCCCCCAGCGCATTTGTAACCCTGTCCGACTACAAGATACTGCCCATAAAGGATTGATGGCCGGAGGAAGAGGGGGCGAGGCGGAGGATCGATAGGGAAGTGCGGGAGGGGGAGAGGGGAGCGGAAGGGCGCCCAAAAGGCCTAACCAAAGGCCAGGCCGGCGTGAGTGACCGCTAAGGGCGGCGGCTCGCGGGGCGGGGAGGAAGGGAGAGGGGTTTGTGTTTGTGGGGCAGGGAAACACCATCGCGAAATGCCCTGCCTGCGCCATCGGGGAGGGAGAAGACAAAAGCGGGCTGGCGCCGCCGCAGCTCCACCTCCACCCCGCCGCGCGGGACCTTCACCTCTAGGCTCCTCTCTTTTAGGGCGGCAGGAGGCGGGCGGGAGGACGAGCCCCCCTGAAAAGGGGCGGTGCCCACCTCCCTCGCCTGCCCGGCCGTGGCCCCGCCACGCTGCGCCGCGCCCCAAGTGTTTGCGCAGATGAGTGTTTGCCCCGATGGCTGTTTGATCGCCCCCTCACCCTCCTCACCACCAGCTGGGTGCCGCTCCCCCCCACCCCGCAGTGTCAACCCCGCAGTATTCGCCCGCTTAAGCTCCGCCCGCGGCGGCTTCACTACCCGCCCGTGAGATCGCGTTACGGTCGTTAGTCCCGCCGCGGTCCTTAGCCGGCCCGCCCCGGTGCTCAGCAAATGTAACCGTGCAAACGACAGGACCAGTAGTTTTAACCGCTATAGTCTGACATTTAGGATCGCCCAAAAGAGGCCTCGTGGTTAGTCAAGTCAAAAAAGTGCGTCGCGTCCGTACGTTTTCCTCTAGATGCAATGGGAAAAGAACGGTAGCTCAGCGCCTGCGAGACTCGCGGTAGGCCACCCCGCAGTACTCGCATGCATTGCAAGCAAGATGTTGCCTGCCCATCAGGCGCTAGGAGAACGTGCATACGATATACTTGACAGGTTCGTGACGGAGAATGACCGTCAAGATGATCCCTTTGCACAGCATAAACCGACCAACGTTTCCGTTTTGCAGTTGAAAGGGTAAATTTTCTTTCCTTTTGCAGTTGAAACTATGCAGGAGTTTAGTTTCTCAGTTCAACGACCTCTGGTTTGCCGAGTGCTCCCCCGCGTCGCCCCCACTCACCCTGCCCGTCCCGCGTGCGTCATAATGTTTTGTCCGGCGGCGGGAAATTGATTTTGCGGCGCGGAGGAAGCCTTGCAGTCCATGGGGCCAGAGGCGGCGGCCAAAGCAGCGGCGGCCAGAGGCCACGGGGCGGGGTGAGTGCGGCTGGCCCATGCCGCCCATGGCAGCAGCCGCTGGCTTGGCCTGGCCTGGCCCGGCCGGCCCCACTGGCATGGCCCATGGCTGGCCGAAGGACGTAATCTCATTTCCCCGAAGGCACGGAGGAGGGACGCCGGGGCCAGGCTGCTGACCTCGGGCTGGGCTGTTCGGCCGCCCATGGCCCGGGGCACATGGCCCGGCTGGGGCGAGGACCGAATTGGGGACGGACGCTGGACGCGCGGGCGGCCCCGGCGGCAGCGAGAGAGACAAAAGAGGGCGGGTATTGAGATGTTTCCGGTGCCAGCGCGTGGACCGCTGGGGGGGTGCGGCATCTCATTTTATGCCCCCCCCCCCCCGCCATCTTTATAGGCGTCCGGAATGCCGCGCGGCAGTGTAAAGGTTCGGGGGGCAGGTACGCGTCGGGCATGCCGAGCCAAGTGCACTCGGGGGAAGGGGTGCGTCCCCTCCAATCCCTCCCCCGCCCGGCGCACGTCGGGAGAGCCCGGCCCCGCTGTGCCTTGATTGGTTCCACCGACTCTCCCTCGTTCTCCCTCTCTCCCTCTCTCTCTCTTCTTTGCCCTCTCCCGGCGGCGCCTGTGCCCCGGCAATGTGATTGCAAGACAAAGAGCCTTGGGTGTGACTGGACAGAGAGTCCTGAGTCCTGAGCCCTGGTCCTGACCGGGGAGGGGGCGCTCCGCTTCGGGCCTCCGGGTCGCGGGGCGTAGAGTCCTCTAGCGGGGCGGTGTGGCGCTGTTTGCTTAGGACCGGCACGGCAGATAGGGCGAGCAGGAAGGGGGAAAGGGGGTCCGGTCGAGCGGGGGTTCTGAGCCCAACCAGCAGTCCGCTCACCCACTGCACCGCCATACATCTCCCGCGCGTTCTCTCTTCGGCAGCCCGCCGCAATGAATGCGGAATACGAGAGTAGAGTGGGAGAGAGACGGGTGCACTCGACGGGGACGGGCCAGAGAGAGACAAAAAAGGAGAGAGGGGGAGCAGGAAGACGTTATAAATGGCGCACTGTACTGTTCATGGACCTTTTTATCGCATCGCAGAAGGTTCGTGTAGTAGGTGTAGGGAAAGAGGAGGGGGGGGGGAGAGAGTTGGGGCAGCTTTAAGAGGAAACGCGTCGCGGTTCGGTTCGGTTCGGCGGCGGCCAGCGAGCAGACGAGCATTTGGGAGCCCAGCCCACCCTTCTCTGCCCCGCTGCCGGGCAGGCCGGGCAGATGCCGAGGCGGCGGGCGGTGATCTCAATAAAATGCGTGGTCGGCGCCAAACTCGAGACTTCCCGGCTCAATCGGGAAGCCAGCGAGCGAGCGGAGGAGGAAGAGGAGGAGGTTGATGGACGGGATGGACCACACACACACTAAAAGGGGTTTTCTCCCTCGCCGAAATGTGGGTCTGCAGTGGTGGGCGCCTGGCATCATAACCTGCCGTCGTAAAAGGGGACGTAAACACGAGGACGTTCTCTCCTCGTTAGTGCTGGGCTGGGCCGGGCTGGGCTGTACCCGAGGGTTGTGGTATATAGACCGTAGACCGTGCTCGTTTTGGGACCGACTGTCCTGTAATCTGTGGCTGAGAGAGTACCAGGGGAAAGGGATGGTGGAGGGACTTACCCCGAAGGCAATATGATGGCGACCCTCATTCAAAGTTGTCCACCCCCTCCCTCCCTCCCT